CCTGTTTTAATTTCCTAACTTCCTGTTCTGTTCTGAGCGTTATCATTGGTGGATTATTTTTGTTAGCCAATTGCAACGCACAGAACAGAACAGAACAGGAAGTTAGGAACTTGTAACAGGAAGTTAAGTTAAGAACATTGCAAATTCCCTGAAGGGATTTGCAAGGAGTTTTTCAAATTTGCTAAGGTAATGACGAAAATTGCAATCAACTTAGGAACTCAAACGCTTCACGTTGTTTACCTGTAATTGGTCACCCTTACCACTGATGTGTAAGTTGTACGTGCTGAACCCATTAGGCACAAAGTCTCCCTTCAACCTGTTAAGGCCAAACAACCCTATTTTGTTATTTTTGTCTATCTAACGCCAGACGACTTTACTCTTATAGGTTAGAAGTGCAGGATCAAAAATTTCTACTGTACTTTCCTGGGATGTTTTTTATTCTAAATATAAATAAAATAAAACGTTAATACAAATAATAAAATATTGATTATAAATAATAATTAATAATTTGTCAATGGTTAATCAAAATCTATGTGATTTTACCAATTGATTCCCCTCCATGTATAAAGGTATAGGTACAAAAGTACAATATTTATTACACACTGCACGATAAACGCCCCCCACACTCCCAGGAAATATATTATGTCGTTTTGTAATGGGAAGTTGCAAACGTATTCAAGAAGAAATAAAAGGTACATAACCAAGAAGAAATAAAAGGTACAGAAACTTACTTACCTTCTTTGTTCCGAGGGGTATATTACTTTGAAAATCTTCAGTACACTTCATAAAAAATCCAAAAAAATCTTTGGAAAAATCCCAAAATCTTACTAAATACCAGAATCCCAAAATCCCAAAAAATCTCTAAAAATTGCATAAAATACTTGGAAAAAGCCCAATAAAATCCTCAAAATTATTGCAATATCGAAAAATCCCATCAAATTTAAACATTTAAATCATGAATTGGCGTGAAAATACCCTTCGTTGATTTACTTCATTTTAAAAATAATTCGACGGATTATATGTCTCAAAAAATGTCGGAAAAGGTTCGGCGAAAAAAAATAAGGGAAAATATTTTGGTCAGCCCGAGGTAATGTATTGAATCAATATTTGCGTACTAAGAGTCCAAGGGACTAGGCTGACTTTTACTCTTTTCACATGAGGACTGGGTTCGAGTCGCATTGAGAAAGTTCTCACTGAGGCTTGAACCTGCGGCCTCAGAGCTAGGTAAAAGGCAAGCGCGCATACCACTTGGCCACCGAAGCTACTATGTTAAGTTAATATGGATTAACTACAATATTTCATTTAAATAAAACTTCACCTCCAAGAAATCCTTGGCCTGTTCCACAATACCGTGAACACAGTACAGTCTGAACATTGCTTCCATCACAGGACGAAGTGTCGCACTAAAGCTCTCGTTCCGCATAACATTGGCAAACTGTTCCACCACGAATTGATGACAATGAGCCTGATAAGAAATTGATGCAAAAATGGTTAAATGTTGCTTGCGGTTGGACTTTACTTTTAACAATTGTTTACGCGAGAAAATCGCGAGGCATAAACACACGGATCTAGGCAGTTTCTCTGAAGGTAGCGTTTCAGTTATATTCATTTCACTTACATGTGATACACAAGTAGGGACACTGATATATTTCTCCCTTCCGTTCACTCACATAACCCCAATTATACTACAATTAGCATTTATATAACGCAAATTTACAGATGCGCTTTATAGATTTACAGATGCGCTTTACATCAGGTATTATATGCTTACCCAATTACATATATTTGCCCACTATATTATCTTTACGACAACTGTGATGTTACTTTCTTAACTCTGTTTATCCTAACCCATCCTGTCAACTTTCCCTGTGGGAGGAAACCGGAGCACCCAGAGAAAACCCACGACTTTCGGCAGAGCTTTGACTGTATATACGGATTTTCTGGGGGGTGCAGGGGGGTGCTACCTAATATTAGCTGTATAACCCCCAAACAAAATGTCCACCCCTCCAAAAAAATGTTCAACTCCCTCCCCCAATATTCGGCATAATAAATAAATAATTAAATAGTCCACTCCAACGGGCAGGGTGTTGATGATACAAAATAAACGTAGGAGTACACTCGAACAGAAAAAGACAGTGCAACACTCTGAAACTAATCGCTCCTCGCTTGCATTCACTGGTTTATTGGAGCAATTGTAAAGTTTTGAAACTCTATTATCTTCCTTGAATAGAGTTTGCAGTGCCTTGTCATGCGAATAGCTTGCACGCAAGGAACGTTTGGAATTTTTACGAACACTATTTTTAGTTTTTAATTCTTTTAGGAAATAGACTTGCCTAGATTTAATCTTTATGCCCCAAATATTATTTACATCGGAGTTGCATCATAAATTGTACTCGGATTCAAACAACACAATGTCAATGACTTTATAAAAGTAAAAGCATATTGTGTATAG